AAAAAAAATCAAAATCCTGGCTACGGCCCTGTATAGAGTTGTGCTGGAGAACCTAGAGATTTCTAAAATTCTCTAGGAATTTATTTGATAGATCCTCAAATGCAACTTTGTGATACCTTGTGGATAATGTTTGCCATAGAACTACCTGGAGGATCTAGCAAATTTCTAGGGTAAATAAAAATGCAGATATGAGTGTCGGTTACAGGATCTTAGTGTATTCTGCAAACAGGCAAATTGCTGATGCAGAGATCCATCAGAACTACAACCACATTTAGGTTTTGATTATAGGGGAAACAGAAATTCTACATTTTGCATATATATATGTGTGTGTGTGTGTGTGTGTGTATATATATATGTGTGTGTGTGTGTGTGTGTGTGTGTGTGTGTGTGACCTGCATCAATGACCTGTATAATAAAAAAATACAAATGTAAGAATAGGAGCATATACATTTATTAATAGTAAATTATCTCTTCTTGGATGTTACTAAGAACAAATTCCCAGAACCATTCCCAGGAGCTGAGGACTGAGACCCTGCAAACACTCTTCATCTTCCTTTTTATCTACCATTCATGTTCAGCTGGGGAACTGGCAGTTGATCAATCTCTAGAAGGACATAGGTTTCCCTTTGCCTAAGTGATGGGAAGCAATCCTCGTGTTCAAAAAGAAAAATCAAGAGGCCTCTTACCTTGAAAGCACTAAATGCCAGTTGATCTGCTTATTGACCAGGCGGATGAGTCCAACAGGGAGGGAAGATTTTGCAGGACTAAAAGCACAAATAGATTTATGTTGGAGTGTAAAAGAGCTCAAGAAGCAGAATTGTGGAACAGGTACACAAGATTATGTTAGAAAAGACCTAATGAGGACCAGGTTATAGATTCATGTGGTGTGGGGGTGGGGAGTGGATTTACAACTCTTTCACAAATGTGGCCGCATAACATTTGACATGGAACAATATTCCCCAAATATGGAATAGATGTCATTGGTTAGTCTGAAGACAGCATTATTTTGAATGTTAAATCAAATTAAATTCTTCCACAGACACAATGTTATTCATCAGCATAATAGGAAATGAAGCAATTCTCTTCCTCCCCTTGGCACATTCAAAATCTGATATGATAAAGGAGAAAGTCTCACCATATGAGCGGGTATCTGCTTGCACACTACATAATTTCACCTCATGTTTTATCCTACCATTCTTTAATTTTTCAAGAGTTAATATTCTTTTTTTATGGAAAATCTAGATAATTGTAGTACCTCTCCCTATTACCCATCTAGGAGCTTAAGATCATCTGGGGAGGCCCTGCTCTCGGTCCCACCTTCTTCGCAGGTGCACTTGGCAGAGACGAAAGACAGGGCCTTCTCAGTGGTGGCCCCTCGACTGTGGAACTCCCTCCCTAGGGATATTAGATCACTTCCTCTCTTCTGACCTTCCGGAGGAAAGTAAAAACCTGGATTTTTGAGCAAGCCTTTGGGAACGCAGTGCAATAGACAAACACGGATCTATGTGGAACTGAATTATGGAATGGCTCAGATTATATTTTTTTGGACAAAGAGATGAACAGTGAAGGCATTTGTTTTATATTATTTTAATGTTTTTATTGTATTATTTTATAGACTGGTTTTAAGTTATATACTGTATATTGTTACGGCATCAAATAGCTGCCGGTTGTAAGCCGTCTTGAGTCACCTTTGGGTTTGAGAAAGGCAGGGTAGAAATATCCTAAATAAATAAATAGTAAAGAAATACCTATCGAAAAACACAATTATCTGCCTTTAATCGTTTTTCAGATTAGATCCATACTCCAAAATAGAATCATAGAATTATTGAGTTGGAAGAGACCACAAGTGCCATCCAGTTCAACCCCCTTCTATGCAGGAACACACAATTTATTTAAGTAAGAGACTGTTATATAATGATATTTTAATCTGGCACTAATTCAGTAGGAGAACATGCACAAAGAATCAATTTCTATTTCCAAAGAGTAAAACTTCAGACCAGACATTCCTTCCAGCAACCAACTGCTACTGTGGCCATCAGATGGATAAGACAATAATTTGTGATCATTCTCTTTCATGTGCTCTAGACTAATGTAAGTCAGGCCTATGACAATTTTTGTTTAATAAAATAACTTACCTGTACCATAAGTAACGAAGTAAAAATAAGGCAGGGCCTATAAAATAAGAAAATATTTAGAGATTTGGAGGGATAGGACCAGAAGGATATGTCATTTTGCTTGTACATTTTATCTGGATTTGTTCTTCAGGGAAACATACACACCAGCAAAACATGGAATAGAATCTTATGACTGTTATTTTCAGCTTCCTTAAATTATTGATTGTATAATTGAATGGAAAGTTGGGGGGGGGGGAATTCACTCTCATCCAGTTCCAACATTATCCAGCTGTCTGTCAAGAACACGATGATGAAAGACCATATCAGAAGGAAGCACAAATATCAGAGATAATAGAGGGATTCTTCTTTTTTTCATCTTAGAAATAGAAGAAATACTTCTGTCTCCACAGGGAGGTAGAGGAAAACCCCAGAACCTATGCAGGCTGGATTCGGACTCACTATGATCAAATTATGGCAATGGGCAAAGGTCCCTATGTTTGAGGTCTGAGGCTGCAGCTTTTTGGAAAAGTCTCAAAGGGTACATCTACACTGCAGAATTAATGCAGTTTGATACCACATTAACTGCCATGGCTCAATGCTATGGAATCCTGGGAGTTGCCATTTGGGGAGGGAGCAACACTCTTTGGCAGAGATGGTGAAAAACCTTGTAAAACGACAATTACCAGGATTCCATTGCATTGAACCACAGTAGTTAAGGTGGGTGTCAAACTGCATTAATTCTACACTGAAAAGTAATGGTAAAAGTTTCCCCTTGTCATTAAGTCTAGTTGTGTCCAACTCTGTGGGGTGGCGCTCATCTCCATTTCTAAGCCGAAGAGCTAGTGTTGTCTGTAGACGCCTCCTAGGTCATGTGGCCAGCATGACTGCATGAAGCACTGTTACCTTCCTGCTGAAGTGGTACCTATTGATCTACTCATATTTGCATGTTTTCAAACTGCTAGGTTGGCAGAAGCTGGGGCTAACAGTGGGAGCTCACCCCGCTCCCTGGATTCAAACTGCCTTTTGGTCAGCAAGTTCAGCAGCTCAGTGGTTTAACCCACTTCTTCACTGGGAGCTCCTACACTGTAGAAGTAGCCAAAATGTATGACTGTTTCACTCCTGGAATCACACATTTTGTGTCAGAGCTCCAGAAATCATCTTCAGACCCAGACAAAGCAAAAGCCACCATTTTTAAGTGTTGTACATACTCAAACCTCCATATGCTATCCATGCAATGAAATGATGGACCACCAGGAGGCCCAAGACATTACATCTTATCATTATGATTTATTGAGACAGTGCCATGACTGTGCCAAGTACTTTACAACTAAAAGAACAACGAAACAGTTATCTGCCCATAAGATTACAATCTACAGTTTTACAATCTTAGAGATTTTCAGTGCTTTTATTTGTCAAAAAATAACAGTAGATCATTGAATTCATTCATGAAATGGGGTCCAAAGAAAGGATGTCTTTAATTGAAAAGAAATAAATGGTTCTATCTCCTGCACCAGAGGTGTCACAGTATGTCACATTGTTCTGGTGTCGTAAATCATTATATGTATCATTACACAAAGTGTGAATGGGTCACAAATGTAAGGTACAAAGTCCAATGTTAACCCATAATAAATATTGCTACTGTGACTTAATATCAACAAACTGCCCATTCTTATATGATACACTTTGAATGTACAGGAAATTGTTAATAGATTTCAGGAACATCCAACAAGAGACAGAAGACTTATATGGATGAAATGGATATAATCTTGTCGGGAAAAACAGAGAAGATAAATTAAGGAGCATGAAGAAGGATGCACTTCCCAATAATTATTATGCAACACGTGTTGTTCTTGGCCCCCAGAACAACAGGTATATGATAACAGATAACAAATTGTATAAACAATTCCAATGAATTCACACCCCATTCATTTCAGCCACGTGAGATCCACTAAGCAATCCATCAGGACAAGCCATGCATATTTACCTGTAATTGCTCTAGTGATGATAAATGATGCTCCGTGCTTTCGGTTGCCTCTTGGCTGCAAATTACAAGAAGGGAGTGAGTTTGCAGCAACTGAATCTGTTATTCCCCAGCTTTCCAAGTGAAAGGAGTTTATGAATTATCCGTCGGGCTGAGCAACTATTTAAAATTCTACTTTGACTGCAGCTCTAAGGGCATTTTCAGAACGAGTTTTGCAGGTGAGCAATTCAGCATGTGCAACAGTCCCAAGCCAAGGCAGGGCTCCCCTGATGCTTAAAGAAATGGCACTAGGAATCCAAAAGATGTAATAAGGTCACAAGCGGCAAAATATGACAACTTCCTATATGCAGAATCAAACACACAGAACCAGCATGGTGTGATCTGAGCATTAAACTAGCACTCTGGAGACTAGGGTTCGAACCCCCATTCAGCCATGAAAACCCTATGATAAAGTTGCCATAAATCGGAAACGACTAGAAGGCACATAACAACAACACAGAGATTTCATGCCAGAGTCACTCGGGGGTTCATTACTGACTGCTACAGTTATGCATAATAGGTAAATTTAAACAGGATCCTAAGAAGCAAAAACTTTAGCATCAGGAAAAGGAAAAAGGAAAAAAATAGACTGATCTGGTTTGGGTTGTATTTATCAGAGCCACCGCAATAGTGCACTATAATGGACTATCCTTCTCTGTCTAGCAACTCCTTTTGGCCTACGCCTGACAATGGAATAGTACCAATAACAACAACAATAACAACACATAGGCAGGCAGAAAGAAGTTGAAAAGCATATATTACATTCACAAAGATTTCTGACTCCCTAATGTTCTATGACACCATTCCCCACAAACATACTTGGGTAACTAGGGATGAATTGTGTGTGTGTTGTGTAAGAACTCTGAATCCTGGTAGTCGAAAGAAATTACAGGGCTCACATTTCTTTAATTCCAAGAAGATTTGATTTTTGCCAAAAGTTCAGATTAGTTGTTTATGCTGATTTAGTAAAATACAAATACAAACGAACAAATACCCTTAAGGAAATATTGTGAGCCTGAAGGCTGTGGCTAGAGCTCATCTCAGGTATTTTAATATGCGAATATTTTAATATAGGCTTTTATGGTTGCATGTTAGCTATCTTTTAATATGGGATTTTATAGATGTATTTTACTATGATGTGCCCCAACTTGAGTCAAAAGGAGAGACGGGTAATAATAATAACTATCATCATCATCATCATCATCATCATCATCATCATCACTGGGTTGTTGTAGGTTTTTTCGGGCTATGGCCATTCTCTCCTGACATTTCACCTGCAACTATGGCAAGCATTCTCAGAGGTTGTGAGATCTGAGGATGCTTGCCATAGATGAAGGCGAAACATCAGGAGAGAATGCCTCTAGAACATGGCCATATAGCCTGAAAAAACCTACAACAACTCAGTAATTCCGGCTATGAAAGCCTTCGACAATATCATTATCATTGTTTCGATCCTGTTTTTCTCCCCAAAGGGACTCAAAGCAGCTAACAATAACATAACACAACTCAATAAAATTTAAAACTGCATTGAGTCGCCTGACTGGGCTGAAAAATGCGGTATAGAAATAAAGCAAATAAATAAAAACGTAGCAAATAGAGGGAAAAAACATTAAATATTTGTGTCAAGGGTGCAATGCTAAAATACAGTTAAAATGCAATCAAATACATTTAAAATTACATTTAAAAACTCAACATCCCTCCTCCCAAATGTAGTGGATTGAATATTTCCAACATGAGGAGCCTTTGAACTTATAGGTCAAAGTCTAAAAATAAATAAATAAACCACTATTCAATTCATCACATAAACTGCTGATTAAAAAGGAAGACAGGGGGAAAAAACAACTCTAAGTTAGACATTTGAATTCTGTTATGACCTTTTTCTAGCATTGCTGTTAAACTGAACATAGTTTATTGTCTCTGCATGGTTTTAGTATAGCTCTGAAAGTTGTAAAAATGTAAATAGATTATTTTGTTTGCAACTTAATAGTGTCCTTGTACACTAAACTCTCTGAGTGAGCTTTGTGCAGAATTCAGTATATAAGTCTTCACTTCAGATTGCCTTTATATACTTAAGAAAAGCAGAACATATAACGTAATGTTCTATTTTCTCTCATGAATATCAAGGCATCAGAATAAAAGCCTTGCTCATGTTTAGGAAACCATTCTGAACTTCACATTCAACTTCTGGATAATGCAACCACAACTCTGCAAAGGTTTCCACTGGAGGAGGAGAGAAGAGAAGAATTTTGTTATTTAACTAAATAATTGTGGAGAGCCACAATCATTTCTACATGAGAAACCTGTCGCCACTCTGCTGAAACAGACCACATCTGGATCAATCTGGGATCAAGTGAAAAACCTTCAGTGAACTTCTCCACAATAGCATGATGTTCTCATGAAATCCTAATCACAATGTCCTACATCCAATCAATCAATAGGATATACATACATCTTGATTTGCATATATGTGCCTTCATGTTGCCTACTGATTTATGACAATCCCGTGAATTTTATAGTTTTCTTAGGCAAGGAATACTCAGAGGCGGTTTTGCCAATTTCTTCAGCACAGCTTTTTGTTGGGGACATAATTTTTAGACAATTTTTAGTCATTTAGTGACACAGTAATTCAGTTTTACTAGAAAACTGGAGATTAAACCAACCCCTTATAAGAGATATGGGCAGATACATAAATTGCAATAGGGACATGTATGGGGACACAACTATCTACTTCATCATACTAAAGAATAAATACACTTTAAATATCTGCCACCTGTAGAATTCTGGGGTTTGTAGTTTAGTGAGAATGTTAAAGGCTCCTCCCTAAACTACAAACCCCAACATTCTGTAGGATGCAGCAGTTTAAAGTGGATTCATTCTCTAGTGCAGTGGTTCTCACCCTTTGGGTCCCCAGGTGTTTTGGCCTACAACTCCCAGAAGTCCCAGCCAGTTTACCAGATGTTGGGATTTCTGGGAGTTGAAGGCCAAAACATCTGGGGACCCACAGGTTGAGAACCACTGCTCTAGTGTGATGAGGCAGCAAATCGTGAAAACTTTTCATTTATATTTTTAAATATATATGATTTGTAAGAATTTTTTCAGGTCAGAAGTGACTCAAGAAACTCCAAGTCGCTTTTGGTGTGAGAGAATTCACTGTCTGCAAGGATGTTGCCCAGGGGATGCCCGGATGATTGCTGTTTTACCATTCTGTGGGAGGCTTCGCTCATGTCCCCGCATGAGAAGCTGGAGCTCGACATACGGGAACTTACCCCGCTCCCCGAATTCAAACCACCAACCAGTAGGTCGACCAGTCCTACCAGCACAAGGGTTTAACCCATTGCACTGCCAGGGGCTCTGATTTGTAAGATAATAACATACATTTCCAAGCTTAGCATTTTTGGCAAATTTTAAATTGTAGGATTAAAAAATATAACAGTAAAATAACTTATCATTTGAATAGAGGTGGATGAGGTTGTTGAGTTGGACAGTTTTTGAATATTTGGTGGAATATTAGATAAAGACGCTCGCATTTCATCATCAAGCATAGAGTGGTACTGCTTATATGATACAGACTCAGGGCCCTTCCACGCAGCTGTATAAAATCCCACATTTGTTTTGAACACACCTGAACAAAATCCATTTTCTGCTTTGAACTGGGATATATGTCAGTGTGGACTCAGATATCCCAGTTCAAAGCAGATATTGTGGGCTATTCTGTTTTGATATTTTGGGATATAGGACTGTATGGAAGGGCCCTGGGTTATATGGCAGGATGGACTCAGAGCCCTTCCAGACAGGCCCTATATCCACGGATCTGATCCCAGGTTTTCTGCTTTAAACTGGAATATATGAGTCCGCACTGTCAGATAATCTGGGATAAACAGAAAACCTGGGATCAGATCCTGGTATATAGGGCCTGTTTGGAAGGGCCCTGTGATAACCCAGTTCAAAGCAGATATTGTGGATTATTTGCCTTGATATTCTGGATTATATGGCTAAGTGAAAAGGCCCTCAGGACCCTTCCATGCAGCTGTATAAAATCCACATTGGACTGGATTATATGGCAGTGTGGACTCTGAGCCTTTCCAGACAGCCATATAATCAAGAATATCAAGGCAGAAAATCCCACAATATCTGCATTGAATTGGATTATCTGAGTCTGCACTGCCATATATTCCAGTTCAAAGCAGATAATGTGGGATTTTATTCAACTGCGTGGAAGGGGCCTTGGATAACCCAGTTCAAAACAAATATTGGCCCCTTCTACACAGCTGTATAAACTCCACATTGAAGTGGATTATATGGCAGTGTGGATTCAGATAACCCAATCCAAAGCAGATAGTGTACATTATCTGCCTTGATATTCTGAGTTATATGGCTGTGTGGAAGGAGCCTCAGAGGTTTCGAATTACATTTTTGTAAAACACCTACACACTGCAGTTGATATACACTAACACAGTTTGGAAAGATCTGTCCTACAGCATCAATTGTCCAGACCTTATTTCCTCTACTAGGCCCATGGACATTTTCAGTTTGGCTTATGCTATATCATCCTCCAAAGGAAACAGAAGGGTTCATATGATAGCTGAATAATATTCAAACTACCATAACACTTGAGAATTATGTGGGACATCGTGAAAAACTATACATGGTCTTGCGACTGCAAATGTTAGTTCAGTGTTTATCATCTATTTTTCCTCCTAAGAATATGAATGACATCACTTGCTCACAGAATAGCAAAGTAAGGTATGTAAAGCTTTCTGTTTCAAGTTTTCAAATAACTTTTTCTGAAGTTAACATGCATGATAATTATGTTTAAGGTCAGAAACAATTACTCTTGAGACACAAAACCAAAACTGTGATTGAATGAAACAATTCTTGGCCTTTGTGTGCCTGGGTTTCTAGGACAGGGTGGTTTTGCCAATTCCCTCCTCTGAAATATAACTTGTAGTACCTAATATTCATTCATTGGCAGTCTGCCGTCCAACTACTCATTGTAATTGCCCCTGTTTAGGTTCCAAGATCAG